TTATTTCCTATCTTATTCATAGCCTTTTCCTTTTTTGTTTTCTTTAGGTCACGAGCAGTTGTCCAAGCATTTCACTACATATCGTACTGTGTATGACTGTGTATGTGACAAATAAAATTTGAATTTGTTTCACACCTGCCTAAAACGTTTGCACAGTACTGTATATGTACATATATGAACAGTATATGTACATATATGAACAGTATATGTTCATATATGTACGGTATACATACTGTATATGTACATATACTGTTCATGTTCTGTCTTTTAACCTCTGAAACTCACAGAGAGAGGAGAGATTAATGGAAGTCGCTTTATTAGTTGAACACACCACCTGTAGCAAGTACTGTTTATTGATGAGGACAAAAAAGTACAAATGTGTGATAACACTGCGATCTCTTTTCAAACAACAGCTGATAACTAGTCATACAGAACCACTATAAAATAAAAACCAAGCATTATGGTCAAATAAAAGGAAAAATGATACTCAGTGTACAACAAACAATCACTATCACATCTACTTATCTAGTAAATATGGAGCTACAGCTACATTTATGTTGGCGGCTTCCAGGTCAGACGTTATTATAAAGCTAATGATTTTTACAGTATGCCATGGCAACCACTACATGAAAAACACTACTTTAGATGAGAAGTGCCAGATTTTGCTCCAATAATGCCGAATCTCATAGAGCTGTTATTGTTTAGATGAATAAATATAATCCCACAATACAGCGTTAACAACAAGAAAGACTCCAGCGTGATTAGCAGTTTCCATGTTTGGAGTTTTAACAACTGATTTGTACACAACACAAAGTTTGGCTCTGACATGTGAGTGGGTGGGGAATCTAGAGTAAGAGTTTATGGAGTACTACAGGCAGTGCTCTGTTCTTCTTTCTCTAAGTCTTTGAGGGTTTTTACAAGGTGAGAAGGGGTAAAGGTTTCAGTTGACCCTGAAAGACACAAGATGCTGTATGACCAGTCTGTTTGCTCAAGTCTTCAATGAAAAGAAAGAACTTTTTCTTTTTCTTCAGTGGCTCATTGTTAAATTCAGAATTTCATCTAAAATCTCCTCACAAACATGAAATTTCCCACTCGTGGGACTAATAAAGGTATCTTATCTTATCAAACAAAACTCTGATTGATCTATCAACCTCTAAAGCAGAGACATCCTCTCTGCTTTTAAAGGATGTCTTCTGGGTAGGCCAAGGCTAAAATATGATGAATATGCATTATGATGAACTGGAAATATTGATTTAGCATATCCGCCTGTTCAAAAAGTAATAGCTGTGAATATGAATATGTTACAGAGCACATAAAATAAAAGTTATTTTTGAAATTCTGCAGTTTGTAAAGTGTTCTTGTAAACCTGCTGCACTTCACCATGGCAACAAGTGTGTGAATTACTTTGTCAGTTTTTGCTTCAGCTGCTTTTTTGTTTCAGTTTATTACATGTTGCAGGATAAATGGTGACAC